GCGCTCAGTGTCATCATGACTACGTCATCACTTCTCACTTTCTACTTCAGGGGGAAAAGCTCTATGAGCTAGCCCTTCTCTTCTAAGTCCTGGAAGAAACCACCAAAGACAAACTACTGACCTGGTTATAACTTTCGGCCAATTAAGACAGTGTGCTAGGAAGAAGGGGCACTCAGATCTGGCAATCTCGAGGCTGCCTTAACCATGGAGGTAGCAAGTTACTTCCATGGCCTTAACACAGTTAACCCCCCCCCAACTCCTAGAGGCGATCCAAGGGTCCGCTAACCTATCGGTCGAGCCGTTGAACTAAGCTAAGTAGACAGGAATACTCAGCAACTCACATTCTACGTCCCCGTTCTGGAGGGATAGTAAAAACATCTTCCATCAACAGGGGCCCCCAACCTCGGACAGCAGAACGAAGTCACTTAAACACTGTCAGACAGACCGGGCTGCTAACACTACGTCATGGTATACAGATGTCGGCTTTAGGAGCCCCAAGGGGGAAACCAAGGAAGAATATGAATATGTAGTTTTGAGGCTCCAGGCGCCCACTGGAAACCTCAAGCAGTTTAAATGCTCGCTGAATTCACCAGCTCCATCGACGGGGGTGTTTCCTCCCGGACATCCATGAATATCTGACTATGTAGCTCAACCACAACCAGATGAACGGACGAGATCGCCATATGGTCCCTGCCGAGCCTGAAACAGCCATCGCTAGCGATGACTCCAGTCCTGCGGAGACTGATTTTAAACACCCGTGGGCGAGACTGCCTAGGTACAGATCCTAATCAGTAGCTACCCAGGTTTTACACGAGTGGACCCCGGAGGGGCGTTCAAATAGTAAAAGAATTTTTCTGTTCAGACAGGCAGCGAGACGAACTGCTTGTTTTAATGATTGCCCGGGCACGACCTTGCATCTGTTGTCGGCGCGGGCCTGAATATGGGCAAACATGAAATTGTTTCAAAGGTATATTATTTTATATAATTCAAAATTTCGTCTTCATAGTTTCCACTCTCAGAGTCTAAAAGTTAGTTTAGACGCTGGAAACTAACTTTTAGACGCTTTGGTGACAGTTAGTTGGTCTAACTCTAATTTCGAAACTGAATTCTCAGAGCTAATTTATATTTAAAAACGAATGAATATTAAATTTATTAAAATAAAAATAAGTAATTTTTTAATCTAAGGTTATTGAATAACCTTAGATTAAAAAAAGAAGCAGGAATAGGTTGTAGAGACATTGGGTTGTTTTTGGAGACTTGAAAAAAGAGAAATGCCCTCGCCGGGAATCGAACCACGGACCTCTAGAATACGCATCGACCGTGCTGACCACTACACTACGAAGTCATGCTAAGAAGGCGAGGGAAATACTTTATATAAACCCCCTTTTAAAGGGCGACTGGGGATTAGAGGACCCAATCGCCAAATCCTGCGGGTGGAGAATCATCATCCACCACCCTTTTAGTTCGGGCGCCACTGTAGAGACATTAGGTTATTTTTGGAAACAGGAGACTTGAAAAAAGAGCATTGCCCTCGCCGGGAATTGAACCACGAACCTCTCAAATACGCGCCGCGCGTGCTGACCGCTACACCATGAAGGCATGCTAAGAAGGCGAGAGAAATACTTTATACGGTACTGAGTTATGAAATAACCTTATCTTCAAAAAAGAAAGAGAAATGAGTACTGAGTTATTCAGTAAGAAAAATGAGGTGCAAATATTATTTCATTTTGTTTATGAATCTGAGTTCGTTATAACAAATTTTAAATTCGCTTTTCATATGCTGAATTTGTCTTCTTTAGGTATCTTAGCAAAAATCCGGTAATAATTATTAATGAATTTTTTAGGAAGAAGAAAGAAATGATTTTAGATGAGGTTGACCGATGAATGTAGCTGAACCTTTATAGGGTTACACGCTTGGAATTGTCAGGATATTACAATACTTAATATGGGAAGGTATTTCGCTGATTAAGGTATTAGGAACATTTGCAAAATAGTGAATCATATATCATGCAGTGAATAGAAATTCTAGTATCGTATGGCCAAAAATTCTGGGATCTATTCTGGTATATGATGCTTTCCCGTTGCAAGTACTGAATTCTAAATATACTTTTATCTTTTCGGCAGAAGGCTCAGTGGAAGCTCATGAAAAATGACTTACAGTTGTCTTCACTCCCATTGCGTTTGATGAAATGATTTCGACTCGGTAAAAAAAATAACTAGTTTTTGACTCATTTGACAATATTGATTCGACTTTTTTTAAAGGATGAGCGGGATTTATAATCAAAAGTCATTATTCACTGACGAAAACATGATGTATCGCATCTTCATGGATCTTGTCCAAGTGGATAATTCGTCTTAACCTACAAGAGTAGCGAGAAGGGAGGAAGAGCAACAACAGTGGGAAAAAAGGCAAAAAAATAAATTCCGAAGGACTTCCTTTTTGTGTAAATCCATAACTTATTTCGATGCAATTTGGCACAGATAGGACAAAAAAAGTACGTTTTTACTCACTTATATGTCTCTGGAAGGTAATACTAGTTTCAAATTAAAAAAGTCGCAAACTGAAAGGTCATCGAAAACAGTGAATATAAAAACAACGAATATAATAGTAATATCAATTTTTCTATGTAAAAATTAAAATTTTGAGCATAATTATTAAAGAAAATCAGCATAAAATGAATTATTTGGATTTTTTTAAGTGAAGTGATTGATGAGAAGGAAAATTTAAAGACTTTATTTAGACAGATATTCGAAAGTATCAAACTCATTTATCAGTTTTTTGGCCCATATTCATTTTTATCTGACAGTTAATTAAACCCAGAAATCAAGTTGTAAAATTTAATTATTTTTGAATTTCTGAGAAGAAGACGTCATCACAAAAGTATTTGATAATTGTAGGATATCTATTGTTGCAATCGTTGACTGTATATGGAAAGATGGTGAAGAGTATGCGTACGTATCGTCGTGGGTTCTTTCACGAACTTACAACATTCCCCAACATTCCACATTTAAGGAACTTCAGCATTTTTATTTCACGGACTTCTTAAATTTGATGGATTATATGTTAGTGAATGCGGTTTTCATTTTTAGTAATTCTTATATTCTTAAACAAAATGTAAGAAAAATTAATGTTTTTATACTTTGTATTTGCTGAACTGAGTTTTTACGTTCTGTTTTTCTTTTAAAAAGTGTACTATGGTTATTTTATTCAACAATAAATACGTACAAAATCGTTTAGAAAAGGTTTCTCAAAGATTATAAAGACAAATTTTATTATATTAAAATATTATTTAAGCTACTATTTTAAATAAAAGAACTAGTGTCCCCTTTTTGCTATATTTGAGACATGCATGAAAGCGATGTAAAGAAATATCTGCTCTAGACACCTTAAAAATTTATTTTATGTTATGACAATGTGCTAAATAATTTGTTAAAATTTAGAAAGTTTTATTAGCCGATAAAGCATTAGTAAATGTTGTTGAATGTAATAGTTTATGAGAGGTTAGGGCTTATCTACGGCTATCGGCTAATATTTTGATATTCAAGTTTATGGAAATATTGGGGAAATAAAGGTAAAAATAGAAATAAGATAATGAAATTTCATTGAATTTAGCTTTATTCTGGAATTAAAGTCCGAATCCGCGAATGTCAAACCGATTAACTGATTTTTCAACGCTTACTTCCCAAACGAAAAACTTAACGAAATAAATTAATAGTAATTGCTGAAGGAATATTTACAAATATTTATGAGATCTGGGTAGGTAGGAATTAATATCTTAAAGGGCACTGAAAAAAAAGGGAAAAAAAAACACTTTATGCTTCCATCTGTTTTGCTAGAGAACTGGATTAGTTTCCTATGATTCAAATTTTCAAAAATTAGAAAAAGTATCAACTTCCGTAAAAGAGTAAACTTTAAGCTTTTGAAAAGTGTAAAGTTTGATGTATGTAAAAGACACTGTAGGACGGCAAATAGCTTCCGTACTTATCGATAGCTTTTAAGATAGGTTTTTTCCACTTTAAATGTAGCAGTTCTTTTATGTTAACCGAGTAAATTAGGGCGATGATTAGAATTAAACAAAATAATGCAGTACATCAAAAAGGGATTAACTTTTAAAAACAAGAAAAGTAAATTTCAAGAGGGGACAGAAACTATATTTTTATGATTTTATATAATTCAGGTATGTGATAAAGTATTTTCTTTGATCGAATTACAGTTTTAATAAAAATAATTTTTGGTTTGCAGTTTCGGTTTTAAAACATGAAAAGTAATTCACACATCTCGGATGAAAATTGGTTTTTTCCTCTCAACCACTAAAAATATTAAGAACTTAAAATTTAAGTTAGAACTTAAAATTAAATGAAAAAAACCTTTTGAAAACAATTAAAAGCTGTCTTAACTTTTATGTGGCAAACAACACCTTTTTTAAGATAGTTTACATAAAATATTAAAAGGAATGCTTGCTTGAGAAAAATTATTTTCGACTTTTTGCAAAAGTCAAAAATAATTTGCGTTGTTTAAACGTTGTGTGTTGAAGAAATTCTTGAAAGGGGAAAGAGAGAAATTTAAAAGATAAATTATTTAAATCACAATAACTAATGTAGAAGCTGTCAGTTTTTTTGGATTTATTTCAGTGATTATACGAATATAATTTAATCTCTATTACCGTTTCTTGCTGGAAATTCTTAAATATTCTTTTTGATTTGATTGATTCTGAAGATATAATTTTCCTTGCTTAAAGTTCCAACAAAAAATATTGTTCAAGTATAAAAGTAATTTGAAATAATATTTTTTAAATGAGCACATAAAAGGTTAAATTGTGGAACAAATATTGTATCAAGTTCAATATCAAATTTTTTGTTTTGCTAACAGAACTAATAGATTTAAAAGTAGTTTTGAATACAATATTTGTGGCTTTAAATTTTACTGAAGATGTTTGCTTGTAATTTAATTAAAATTACTCTATGCTTGATTTTCTCTAACATTTTACTTGCAATTTTAGGTGCACGGTCACCTTCATATTACAAAAGATAAGCCATAGCCATGGTTTCAGAAATGCGCAGTTGTTTCTACGGTGAAAACCACTCTTCAGCAGCTGAACCAGCTCCAATGTATACTCCTTCGAGACCACTTCCTTTGTCCCCTCCAGGTGGGCAGAGTCCACCTTCTACGGCTGCCCAGTCACACAAGTCATATTTGGATGATTATATCTCTAACGGTTATAATGAGAGGTCATCTACAGGTTATTCTTCTCGTGAAGACTTCACCTACTTATCAAGCAGTGCAATAGCACACTCATCGCACAAAATTAGACCAGTAGCTGCTCAATACAGATCAGTACTACAGAAGAATTGTAGTAGAAATTCCTATCCAATTCATCAAAATCAGTCTTATATTCCTAGGTCTCATTTGTTCAGTACTGAAAGCAGAAATTCTGAGCAATTTTGTATCGCTGCTGGACACGTGTCGTCATCAGAGATAAAAGGTCGTAAAAACACAAGCAATGAAGAGAAATGTCATAGTGAGCCTGAAAAACAAACAGCCTTTTTGCCTCTGAATTCTCTTAACAAGACTTACACTGATCTTAGTCAATGTCGAACCACAAAAGGCGGAGATAGAATATATTCTGTTCGATACAGTAATATTCATGTACCTTCTCATTCCTTTTATTCAGATCCAGAAACATTTTTGTGTCCATCAACAAATAACATGAAGAACTGCATCACTTCTGAAGCATCTCTTACTAGTGGGCAAACCAGTACAAATAAAGTAATACCTCACTTTGTTAATACAGTAGCTGATACAGAAAAGCGAGAGAGTAACAGAACTTCAAATGCTTCCATCATAAGAACAAACGAACAACGTTCGCTGGAGAGATCAACATCTTCTTTACATCACCTAAGTATAGGCATCTTAACCGTAAATGCATCAAATAAGCAGTTGGATGACTCAAAGTATGAAAATCATCATGCGGGGTCCGGTAACTATGCTGAAACAGGTGGCAAAACATCTGAACAACGAGAAACGTATACATACGAAACATCTGAAGATAATAAATCTGAATGTAGTAATTATGAGAGTAAAAAGTGTGCAAAGAGACAAGCATATAACAGAGGACAAAATACAAAACACGAATACCAACCACAAGGTTCAGCATCTTCTTCAATCAGAGAACACTACGATAGTGCTGATAAACATGATAATGGACAAATGAACATAAATAGCTTTAATTTAAAACCACAGATATTTAATTTAGAAAATGAAAAGCAAAAAAGTATATCAAAGAATAAAACTGTGAATCACGTGATCTATGAAAAAAAAGATCAATCGTGTAATAATCTAAATGATAAAAAGTATAGTTTTGAAAGACGATATTCTTCAGGAGAACGAAAAAATGCTACTAATTTCGAACCATTTAACTCAAAAGATTCAAAAACAATTAATTTAACGTCCTGCGAAAATTACAAACAGGAATGTGAAACTAATACTACAGAAGGTATTTTCAAACCTTATAGCCCTATCGTTAAAAGTAATCAGAACGGAAGATACGACAAGGAAAGGTATTGTGCAAGAAACGCCAAGTTAAACATCGGCAGTAGTGACGGTGGCTCTGACGGAGAAGACGTTTGCTCTTCTGCCGCTTCAGCCTGCAGTGCATCCCCATCATCTTCCACGGCAACTTTGGAGGGAGATTCTCCAGAAGATCTTCGACGACCAGTTGTAGATAGTGACGACCAGCACGTTCCACATGTATTTGCTCCAGGCCAACACTCTCAACAACGTAGGTGCTTGTTATGGGCTTGTAAAGCTTGTAAGAGAAAGTCTGCCACTGTAGATCGAAGGAAAGCTGCCACTATGAGAGAAAGGAGACGTTTAAGAAAAGTTAACGAAGCTTTTGAAGCGTTGAAAAGACGGACCAGTCATAATCCTAACCAAAGACTACCTAAAGTAGAGATTCTGAGGAATGCAATTGAATATATAGAAGGACTCGAAGACTTACTTCATGGGCCTCCTAGCAGTAGAGATGGTGATTGCGATAGTGGTGGAAGCGACTATGGGGTAAGTTTAAAATATTTAATTCGATTATAATTTTTTGTTTGGAACTGTTACTTGGAATTGTTTCAGATTTAAACATTTATTAACAATGGATCTATTTTAACGAAACAGATCTGCTTTTATTTTTTCAATGAACATCCTATAATACATATATTTTTTAAAGCATTATTCTACATATTTGTAAGCATTAATCTCTGTAACTGTATACTGGATAAAATGCATTAACTTCGGATTCAGCGTTTAGTTAAACATTTTTTCTTTGTTTCTGATTAAAAAATAAGCAGATTAAAATTCATTCTATTTGTAGGCAAACAAATTAATAGAAAAAACAAAACAAATTAAACATGAAAGCTTTAGAAACTAAATGACCAAACTAAAAGCTGCTTACTTATGAGAGTTTTAGTATAAAACTATGGATTTCGCCTTATTTTATATGCAGTACTGGTATGGATTAAGGTTCTTTCTTAAAATGTTTTTGCGAAATCCATCTTATATGTGCAGCTTATGATATCAAAAATATATAGAAATAATTCAGTATTTAACTTTTTTAAGTTTTACGTTAAAACATAACACATTTACGTATACTTCAGATTATGGTAATTACACCATTTTTAATTACTTGATTCGTATTATACCGCCAACATATCAAGCTCACATATGTGAGACCGTCGGATACACACAAGACGTTTTTTCTTGAAAAACATCATAAAAAAAATCTGATGTGTACACCACATAACTTCCTTGTACGGAATATTAAATTATACGCATTTTTTCTTGAATTTCATTTAAACTTATTGGATTGAATTAAATCTACGTCGCCAACAGCGCGTAAACCACAATAGAATAAATGAATTCTTTAAAATTCACTCTAGTATTTGTTTACCATAGCGACACTCTGGCGCTAGATTCACTTAACAGTATTATATTTCGTTCATATTATAACTCATAATGCACAAAATTTATATCATTTAAAGAATAGAATTATCTAATCGTTGCCACATGTTCTATTCAAATACTATAATAAATAATAAAGTTAGAATGATGTATAAAAGAAATTAAGCAAATAAAACAAAAAAGAAACAGTTTTTCACAGACGATTGAGTATTTCTCATTCAATTAATTCAGTTCTCCCTTCGCGACAAGGCAAAAATACATAAAAACTCAAAATATCTGTATTAAAAATTACGAAGTAAATCTTAAACACTTATTTCCTCGAGAAAATTCCAGAAAGGATTAAACATGATTTAATTCGCAATAATAGGATTAAGCATGATTTAATGCGCAATAATAAATGAAGGTGTTATTTTTGTTGTTGCGAAGCTAAGTTTCTCTAGATTGGCAACAAATCCACTATCCTGCTGTTTCAAATGTAAACAAGCAATGGCCGCCATCAAAAAAATTATTACGCTTAGCGCTTAGCGGCACCAACTTTTAAAATTTTTGATAATTCTAAAAAAATATTGCATACAAATTTACTAAAGGCATAAAAACCTTAACCAGAAGATAAGAACAACATAATTCAATCATTTTTAAAGCAAAAAATGTACAATTTACAAACATATAAGAGTAAAGAAACTGAGATCACTGAGCTGGGTAACAGAGTGGATATATATATAAATATATTTATATACGTTTGGTGCTGCCGATTGCAACCAAAATACGAGGTGCGCATCTACATGTTATAGTAGTCCTATGTACAAAATTTCAACGTTCTGAGGCTACTCGTTTTTGAGTTATGCGAGATACGTACGTACGTACATACGTTCGTACAGATGCCACAAAAAATTCTCTTCAGAATTAGTTTTAAAGCAGTTTTATAATTTTTTTGGAGGAAAAGAGTATTTTATTCTGTCCTTACGTACATATATCACGCAAAAACATCGTTAAATTGCATTCGATAGCGGTCAAAGCGGATATTTTCGTTGAAATATGCTGCCTGAAACTTTTCGCTGTTACAATACTTCCTTTTTACTTCGTACAAGGAAGTAAAAACGCTGGGTAGTCTCTTAAGCGATAGCAAAGCCATTCCATAGTCGGGTTAATATGGTAACTAACACACATACATAGACATATATATTTACTCGCGTTCTGTGTGCGATTGCATGTGTACATATTTGTATACGATCTGAACTAAAAACTGTTAATTTGAAAGTAGCGCTATCATTTAAAGAACACGTCTTCCCATATGTGTCACTCTTGACATATGAATCCGTCACACGGTTTAGCTTCCATATATTCAGTTTCACACAATTTTAAACTAGCACGTGACTCAGTTTTAGCCTTTTCTCTTGCAATGTTTGTAATATTTTTTTTTCCCATAGACATGCTTTCAGTGTAATATGTAGGTATGGTATAACTCCCATTGCAAAAATGTTTCCTTTCATATATTTACGCTACTACAGTACTGTCTAAGATACACTTGTAACATGAAAGTAAAATGAATATTCCAAGTTAAAATTTTCAAAACTGTTTTTAAATTAAAACTTAATACTAAATACTTACAAGTACTTCATAGGTACATTGTTCTAGGCAAATGAGGTTTTTCAGATATCAAATTGCATTTTATTTTTACCAAACATTTTACGGAGATTAGTGCAACATTTTATTATTTGCGATTATCATTATTACAGATTGTAATTTTCTGAATACATCAAATTAAAAAAATTAAATTGCACTTTTTAATTTTGAGATGCAAACAAGGAATTTAAATTGCATTACGAGTAAGTTTATTGCAAAATAATCTTTGAACATATAATTAATTATCTGATTTTTACTAAAGAACTTTGCTGCAGTCTCAATTGAAGTATTTTTTTAGGTTATTGGGTTTACGAAAATAAAGCAGAAGGAAGAATTTCTGTACTTTTTTCCTTTACTTTGATTTTTTTTTCAGCCTAAAAAAGCTTAAGGCTCTTCCAGCCTATATTTTAATAAGATTTTTACCATTAAAATCGTAATTAGAGTATATTATAATTTTATATAAATATTTTCACAGAAAATTTTATACTACACTATTAACTATAAATTTACGGGAGTTTTAATGTCTCGAGCAGTTTCAAAACTTTTACGTACAATTTTTCGAAACTTCTATCTATAGTCTGAAACCAGATACCCCTAGTTCTAAGTATTTTAAGCTATTGTTTTTAGATATTTGCACATGTTTTATATTACAAACGTTTTAGAATTTTCATATTTTAAAATTTTTTAATTTAAGCTGCTTTACATTAATATAATGTTTTAAATATTCTCTTTATAAATGGAAGTTAATTCTCTTACATATGTACTATAAAAAGTTGATATGAATTTTGAATTATACCTTCATATCTGCATAATTATCAAAGTAATACTTAACTTATCAATGAGGATGCAGCGTTATAATAGATAGTTCTGGATACTTTTAGTATTGGTGAAATAAATTTTGTCTAAATTTCAACGTTTTACGAATTTCAAGACGAGAGTACTTCAGTTATCTAATCAAGGAAATAAAATTCTAAGAATATTCTAAGACTGTCTTATTAAGAAATAGACTTTTATCGACTAAGTAACCTAAGAAAACGAATTTCCTTTCTTAATCTGGTTTTCATGAAGATCACAGATCACAGATTTGTATGTAGATAACTTAGCTATCAAGTGCAACTGAACTAATGTTTTTTTTTTTTTTTCTTTGGTTTGGTTTGGTTTATTTAATTATGACAAAGCACTAGAAGGCTATCTGCTTAAGGGCAGGGATGCTTTTGTGGAATACTTTCTAAGGGAAAATGGCTCGTATACACGTTACAGATGGGGAAAACCACGAAAACTCTCTTGCAGCCAGTCCATTCATCGGTTTTCTGACTCTGGACCAAACTACCAGTGTCCAACGACTTTACCGCTTGGCAGCTAGTGGGCTTTTAACTAATGCGAATAGAAGCCTGTATTATATGTTAAATTATACGTTTTACGAGTTTTTTCTTTTAATTTAAGAAACAAATATAGTTTTCATTTGCTTAGTTTTTCTTGAAATGATAAGTCTGCTAATCTTACTAAATCGTTCGAAATATGACACGAAAGCATAAATTTGACATTACTGCTCTATTTATTATTTATTAAATAGTAATATGGAGTTTAAAAATCTGTTGATGTAAAGCAAATAATTTAGGCTTCGAATTCGAAATATTCTCATATTTTGTAAGACGTTATATATTATCTGTCAAAAATAAATATGAAAACACATTTTGATAAAACAGTGTAAGAAGCAAGTTTTATAAATGAATAGTTAAAGCTTAGCATGGAATCAGGTATGCTTTGTTTAAGAGACATAAACAAATTTGTAATAATTTTTCGATGCATATAATTTGTAGTAAAAAGTGAAAATGTTTTCAGACGCTTAAGTAAATTCCCAGTAGCTTCAAAACTATAGTAAATTTGAGATATTACGAGTATATACGAGGGCCACCCAGGAAGTAGATTACGTTTCCGTCTGTGTCCGCTAGGGGCGGGGCTAGCGCGGCCATCTTGGGGTCAGAGCGTTGCGCAGCTCAGTCTGCATCTAGCCGTGCTAGTGAGAGGTTCGTGCTGTGCTCCGTTCAGATACTGTGACGGTTTGAAATGTCTGCGTTAATTGAAAATCCCGCGAGCTGCGAGGTGCGCTCAGTAATAAGGTTTCTGACTGCAAAAAACTGTAAACCGATAGAAATCTATGGGCAGCTTCGTGAAGTGTATGGGGACAACATTATCACTGAAGGTGGAGTGCGTCAGTGGGTCATAAGATTTCAAAATGGCCGAACCAATGTTCACGACGAAGATCGAAGTGGGAGACCCAGCATAGTGACCGCCGAACTTCTCGAAAAAGTCGATGCTAAAGTCCGTGAAAATCGAAATTTCACAATAACGGAACTTTCTTTGAGTTTTCCACAAATTTCGCGAAGTTCGTTGCACGAAATCATCAGCGAAAAGCTTGGTTACCACAAGTTTTGTGCAAGATGGATTCCAACAAATCTTGACAGAGGACCACAAAAATCAGCGAA